GAGTGAAGATGAGTTGGTAAACATTGAACAAGTATACCAGTTTGCAGAAAATTGTTCGCTCTACAGGATGTGGTAGCTTGTCAAGCTCGAAACTATTCCAATTGATCTGTATTAATCAAAGAAAAACCAGAAAAATAGTAACGCTGTGACACTTTTTTTTTTGTCACAGCGTCACAAAATATTTTTGGAGCTGTTTGTACAACACCTGTATTTTCATAACGAATTAACGTTCAGAGCCGAGATATTTTTCATTTTGTAGAGAAATGTTTAATCTACTTAATCATCTAGTTGCCATTTTAGATTAGTTTGTAGCTTTATTGCAATAACTTTTCGAAAAAGAGCAAAAAATGGAGGCCGTTAGTTGAACAAACCGCCAAGTACTTGCATCAAGTAGGTTCTCTAGGGATATCATCATATATGAAAGAAAATATATTGTCATCTCTGCATTGTAACAAAAACAAATGGCATTGATTCAGAATCTCTGTCAAAAGTTCCGTTAGACATGGACATTGAACCAAAAATAAAAAATAAATGAAACGTTGTAAACAGAAATTGGCTTTTGACATGTAAAAGAGAGTTAATGACCGAAAGAGTAACAGAAAATATGATTTTTACCATATGTCCTATCAAAACGCTATCGTGTAAAAAACAGATTCTATGAACGAAATCTCTGACTTTCCCTTATCATGTCTGAACAGAATTCTTTCTAAAATCATCACGGATGTCTCATACGGTATCTCTGATTCTGTCACTGATGTTAGATTACATCTTGTGACTTCTTTGTCGGATTACTGTCCAGAATAAGCAACGGCTAGTGTGTTGGATAAACTCGCGTGAATTTCCCAGCTAGGAACAGCATCGGTCAGTTGTGGATGGATTCAATAACTGGACACTGTAAAAAATAGAGTGTATCGATCGATCTTCAATTTTTACTTTGGCTTAATACATCTTATATTGACAAACTTCACATTTTGATCTATAAGAAAAAGTGGCTGTTACGAATAATTGAGCCATTTCGAATCAATAATATCTACGATAAAATTTATGATTATGACACTCACTCATAGAGATTTTAGTCGTTGACGGAAAAAAATACATATTTTTACGTCAAAAAGTATTCCGGTTTTTGCCGAAAAGTCTAGTTGTCGTCAAAAGAGGTTTTGTTTTACCATTTAATTTTTGCCAATCTTAATCGATCTATGTTCATAGTGAGAAAATAACGATTTTATTTGTACGTATGCAATTTCTTTATCAAAGCAAGAAAAAAAATCAACAACAAAAACAAAATAATTGAGTAAACAACCAATCTCTCATTTTTATCTAACTCTATCGACTTTTTCATATTACTTTGTTTTTGGACTTTACCAACCGATGATGATCCCGATGTTGTTATTTTTGGTGTAGTAAATAATTTCGCTTTTTTAATATCATTCAAATGTTCTTGATAGCGTGTTTGGGATGACAAAATGTCTTTTCTACATATGAATCTGAACAAGAATTACATGTGGCATTATAGACAACTCCACAGTGAAACTCTTCTAGAATAGGAGGGTCTTTAGCCCTAAATTCACGTCCAATTTTATTATTCTCTATTCTCCTATGTACAACTTTTTATCTTACATTTCTTAAACTTAATCGGTGATTAATAGAATAAAATCAGCATCAAAAGCACGGACAGTCATACTTGAGTTTTTTCTTGTGTTTTTAGATCAAATTTTACATCTTATACAATTTATTTGTCACTTGATAATGACCGGTTAAAGTCAAAATATCGTGTAAAATAGAAAATGATCTCATTTACTCAGCTGCTATAATTCTCAAAATTTGTCTGAAAAGTTTACCCATTACGAAGTAATGGGTAAACTTCAAGTTACAGGTTCTTATGTGTATCTATAAATCTGCTTAGTAGATCAATGGCACATTAAAATAAATGCAGAAAAAAAATGAAACTTTTTGTTACTCATGTTGCCATCGGTCATTCCATGTTGGTCGTCTTCTTGCCGACGATGCTCGACTGCTTCTTTGACTATGTCTACGATCAGATGGAACGCATGTGGCAGAGTTTGGTCGTGATCCAGCCATACTCGTCAAATTTGACGTTGATGATGGTGCACGCGGATGTACGTATGAGTTGAACAATGGATTTTTGTATGTATTTGTCGAGGGTTGCAATTGATGTGCAGATTTAACACGTGAATAGAAAATCGAAGCGCTATTTGGTCGACTGTACGAACGAGAAGATGTGTCAGTTTGAACCGGAGTCGATTTTCCGCTGGGTGAACTACTAACAGACACATAGCCAATTTGTCGACCATATTCGGAGAGTAACTCATCTCGATTCAAACTTTTTGTAGAACGCGTCTGCTGCAAACGATTTAATATTTTCTAAAGTAAACAATATGCAGATAAAGTAAAGTTAGGTGACTATTTAGCATTAAACTCGTGTTACAGAAAAACTGAACTCTGCTTGTAGTTTGTGGAGAAAATGGAATTGAACGATGAAACTGAAAAAAATGTTGTTTTCATAAGTCCTCGTAACAACAAAGGTTCAATTCTGACTCTGAAGTGGCAACAAGATTAGCATTTGAAATGTATTATTAATTTTAATTTATAACTCCTTCTTCCTAGTTTAGGTTTCAATCACATGAAACGTGCTCTTTTTGCTTTATTTTGTAATAAGTTTCAGTTCTTCACCAATGAAAATTATTCCAGAGAATCTCAACTAAATATTTTTTGATTAAAAACATCCTTTTCTAGTTTCTGTGTGATGTGTCAGTTACAGTTGAGCTGGGAAATAGAACTCAGATATATTCCCTCGTTAGTTTAAGTCTGTATATCGTTTTAGTATTACAAGACCGAATGTCTCAGTAAGCCTCAAAAGTCCTGGATAATAGCGGATACAGTTTAACTAAACAAAGAAAGCTTGCAAAATGAGCTTAAAACATGGAACGGGGTGGTATACTGTCTAAACCTTTTTGAAATCATTGCAATAATGAACATGTGTCTAGTGAGTCAAACTTACGAAGAAACCTATCCAAGTGATACCTTCCGATTTCGTTCATTCATACGTCGATCGAGAGAGGGTATCGAGCTAGTAAAAACCCTAAAAGAATTTTCTCCCATGACTCCTGAAGACCTGGATTTCTAGAAAACCAGTTTTTCAGAAATTTTAAAAAATAACTAAGGCGTTTCTTAACGAGGCACCATTGTAGCCCACACATTTCTGATTAAAATGAGACACCTCCCAGCTCTACACGAGCTTTCCTTGCAAAGTTATAGAACCTACAAGAAAAGCCCTAAATAACTTTTCTTATTTCTGTAGCTTTGAGCTGATAATAAACATTTAGGGCTTTTCTTGTAAATTCTATAACTTTGCAAAGAAAGCTCGTGTAGAGTAGGGAGATGTCTCATTTAATCAGAAATGTGTGGGCTACAGTTATGCCTCTTTAAGAAACTTTTTGGTTATTTTTTTAAAATTTCTGAAAAACTGGTTTTCTAGAAAACCGGATCTTCAAGAGTCATGGGGGAAAATTCTTTTAGGCTTTTTACTAGCGTATGAACGAACGAAATCGAAAGGTATCATTTGGATAGGTTTCCCCTTTAGAATTAATTCAACTGTTAATCATTTCATTTTTCCAGTATATTCCGACCATTACTGTCATTCCCAAGTGAATACAAACTGATCGATCGGTTCACTCCATATATATATATATATATAGAGAAGAAAAAATAGTAGTTCCAAAAGAAGCATTGGGTATTAGTTAAACAGTATATATTTCAATGTCAAGTATCCAGTCGCCTTTTAGTAAAACTTTGAGCTCATAAACATTTCTCTTTAAAATGACAGTCAGACAAAGTTTCAGCCGGTGACTTAATTAAGAAATGCAATTTATACTTTAGTAAAAAGTTACTGTTCTTGATAATTCCTCCTACGTATTGAGTCATCGGCTGAACTTTGTCTGACTGTCATTTTAAAGAGAAATGTTTAACCTACAAAATAAGATATTGTCTAGCTCTAGAGACTACATGATTCAAGAGTTACGAATTTTAGAAAAGATGTTAGAATCATAAACCGTTAGGCTTAAGTTGAAGGTCAGAAGGTATTTTACATGAGTCAGGCAGCAATACACAAATAGTGGGCGTTTGTCTATAGCAGTCAGAACATCAGAAATTGTTTATGATTAATTTCAAAAATTTAACTAAAATGTTCACCTAATTTCGCTAATGCTCGGGGGCATTTTACTTCTGTAACTTCTACTAAATACCACACAACAAAAGTCTATATACAAAAAATACATTTATTTCATATCCCTTTTTTAAATGGATATTAGGAGAGTTTTTCTCTGATATTCAAAAAAACGTAACATACCATATTCTCTTTCTCAATTCGTTGTTGTTCTTTTTGTCTGTTCACAGCCGATGATGTTATTCTTGCTCGTCGACTATAGGTTTCAGCTATATGTGGATAATGGTGATGTCGATTACTACCATTAATCAATTGTCTTAGTAAACCTTTATTTTCTTGATCTATTCTGGATATGACTTGTTCGTCAGAGAAGTGTAAATGAACACGTTTCTTCTTGGCTAAAAGAGATGTGGGAGTTTGAGCCGACGATGAATAATCACCGGATATTTGTGGACGACTTTCTAAAACGTAGAAAAGATTATATCAAAAACGTTATTAAAAATGTTATTCATATTTACACGATAAACATTTAAGAGCTGCTAGATAGAGTCCTGCAGGTTACGACTTTTTGCCAACCTCTAATCTAACCTATAAAAACGTTCACAACCTGAATCTAACCTAACCTATTAATGTTTTCCGTAATCTAACCTAGGTTGCTTATACAAAAGCTTATACAAAATAAATCACATTTTACATGAAAATAGAAATGAATCGATTGAGTCTTTTATTGTTTAATGTAATCTTTGGAAAATAGCTTTCTGAATAGGGTGACCCTCTTAAGAGTAGATCAGAATTTCACTTTAGGCTCTCGATGCTATGAGGGTTCTGTTATTGTTGTGCACAGTAGGATAACGGAAGAGTTTGAAAAATGAAATTTGTTAGTACGTACTCAAATATACTCTGCAATTTTTGAAAAAGTATTAT